GTCATCTCGTATGGCTTGCATGACCGTTGTGGTGGATTGGCCCTTTCGATATGCAGAGATGGTGCTACTCAGTAATTTGTTATCATCGATGAATTTGGAAAGCTGGCGAAAGATTAGGCGTTCATACACTTTCGACAGTACTGGCAAGATTGATATAGGCCGCAGGTCATTTTCAGAGGTGATTTGCTTAACTTTTGGGATTGCGCAAATACGCGCAATCTTCCACGCGGACGGAAAGCTTTGATTCGCGATACAGGTGTTAATGATATCGGTTAATGGAGAACCCAAATATTCGGCCACAATTTTGATCATTTTTGCTGGAATGTGATCTGGTCCTGTGGAACAGTCTCCTCGTAGACAACGTATTTCATTTACAACTTCGCCCAGTGTGACAGGATTTATATGGAAGCCGTTGTCGTAGTCTGGGGGAAGCGAATCGATCATGTTTCTTATAGTGTCGTAACTGTTGTTATCATTGACGTCAGTGCCGATTGTACGTTCTGCCGTTGAAGTAAAATGAGAATTGAGTTTGTCAGGGTGAAAGGTGATCCTACGCGGCTCTGGGTGCAAGATGCGATGTATTACTTTCCATACTTCCTTGGGTTTCTTAGAAGAAAGCATTTTTTGCGTGAATTTCTTTTTAGCAGTTTTAATTAATGCTTTGAGGCGGTTACGAGCTGAACGAAATAGTTCCCACGCTTGGGCATCCTTACTTCTTCGAGCACTGGCTTGGAGAACGTTTCTTTGCTCCTGTAGATCTTGGATGGTAGGATCTTTGAGCCATGGTGCTGGGGGTCTCGTGATCTTGGTTCGTCTTAGCGGCGCATGTCTTTCAATACATTCTGTAATTAAAGAATTTAATATATCGAGTTTTTCATCAGGGTCAGCAACGCCATAGATTACGGAGAGAGGTAACGTTTTAAAGTCTTCGACGAAGTTTAAATCGTTAAAGTTTTTTTCGCATCGTATATACTTGTATCGTGTCTCAAATCTTGTGACTTTGATGTTGATGCAGGCATAAACAGCGTCATGGTCACTGACCAATGGGCAAGGTAAGACATCAGTATGTGAGATGCGCGTGGGTGAATTTGAGATTATATGGTCTATAAGTGTTGAGGATTTATATGTTGTTCTAGTTGGTTTTTGGACGTGCTGATAGAGGTTCAAAGACGACAGCATGTCCAAGTATTGGGTTGTTACAGAGTTCGAATGTCCAAGTAGATCAATATTAATATCACCAGTTACCAAAATAAGACCATCCCAGCTAGCCGTAAGATACCCGAGTAGGTTCTCAAAACGTTCCAGCCATTCCGTACATTTTAGCATTTTTTCTGAGCGATATATTGTCCCCACAAGTAGTTTGCTATGTTTATTTCTGCCGGGGAACTCGAGCCATAAATGTTCAAGGCTGGGTTCTTTCTTCTCAATATCACTCCTTCGACGATACTTTAACGATTCATTGATGTATGCTCCGACGCCCCCGCCTTTTATTGAATCACGATTTCTGAATTCAGAGCTATACCCGGGTATGTTTACGTGCTGAAGTAACAGTGGATTGTCTTTTAACCAAGTCTCGCTCATGCAGATTACATCAAAAGGATATTGCTTCATGGTTAGAACTAACTCGTCGAATGTAGAAACCATGCTTTGGGTGTTAAGATGCATTAGTTTTAGGTGTTTTGGTCTGGTGGTGAGAGAACTCATGTGGTTGATGAGGTGTTTATTTAGGTCTAAAGTGTCGCTCTCGGTAGAGGAGGATTGTCCCGCTTCTAGTGAGAAACTATCGTTCTGTATGCAATGATAGGGCAATTCAGTCCACAGGCATCTGGAACAAATATAATTACTTATAATAGTTTTGATATCAGTTGTGGATGCAATACATTTTACGTGAAACAGATCGAGGCATGATGTACAGTTAGTTTCCTTTTGATTTTTCCGTATAGTTTTCTCGCACTCATGACATTTGTGCATTTGCCGTGGGCCAGGATTTACTTCGATGTCACCGCTACATGTCAACCGCTGTATTCGTAAACAAGCGACGCTATTTGCATAATACGAACAAGGACGGCGAAATCGTTTAATTCGTCTTGTATTTTTTATGAAAGAGGCATTGTTAACGTAATCTCTTGGGATAGTATAATCGTTGATGTGTATGCAAATGTTTAAACTTGGCCGCACGTCTTTCGCAATCCATATTGAAAACGTTTGAGATTTGTTCGAAATAGCTTCAGAAGAACCCCGCTCGAGGCTGAAATTTGCAGAAAGTTTTGCGATTCTATACGTGTCCTTGATCCTTTGTAGTGTAGTGACCTCCCTCCAAACAGTGGGTCTCAGGGAAAATATAGGCGATGGATTATCCTTGAGCAACAAGTACCGCCAAGGAGAGGCAAAAATGATCGTGTAATTCTCATTACAATTCGAATAGTTGCTGCCCAGAGTCTCAGCGTAGATGCATTGTATACTTGTGTTGTCCACTGTACATTTGTCATTCCCAAAATACGACGGAGAAAGCAGTAAAAAAAGAAAAATAACAGAGCTCGTGAAGCCATGTCTGAACTGCATGTTGCTTGTGTGAATTACACAAGTCTAAAATTTTAAGGTAAAATTCAACCACAAACGCTTCGCAAAACGTTTTAAAATGTTCCTTTACTGTATTTGCATAATACGAACTTTACTGTATTTGCATAATACGAACAAGGACGGGTAAAATTCAACCACAAACGCTTCGCAAAACGTTTTAAAATGTTCCTTTACTGTATTTGCATAATACGAGCTTTACTGTATTTGCATAATACGAACAAGGACGGCGAAATCGTTTAATTCGTCTTGTATTTTTTATGAAAGAGGCATTGTTAACGTAATCTCTTGGGATAGTATAATCGTTGATGTGTATGCAAATGTTTAAACTTGGCCGCACGTCTTTCGCAATCCATATTGAAAACGTTTGAGATTTGTTCGAAATAGCTTCAGAAGAACCCCGCTCGAGGCTGAAATTTGCAGAAAGTTTTGCGATTCTATACGTGTCCTTGATCCTTTGTAGTGTAGTGACCTCCCTCCAAACAGTGGGTCTCAGGGAAAATATAGGCGATGGATTATCCTTGAGCAACAAGTACCGCCAAGGAGAGGCAAAAATGATCGTGTAATTCTCATTACAATTCGAATAGTTGCTGCCCAGAGTCTCAGCGTAGATGCATTGTATACTTGTGTTGTCCACTGTACATTTGTCATTCCCAAAATACGACGGAGAAAGCAGTAAAAAAAGAAAAATAACAGAGCTCGTGAAGCCATGTCTGAACTGCATGTTGCTTGTGTGAATTACACAAGTCTAAAATTTTAAGGTAAAATTCAACCACAAACGCTTCGCAAAACGTTTTAAAATGTTCCTTTACTGTAGAACTAAACTGCCTTCATCGATAAACTTTGAGTTCGAAATAAAATGATTCCAAATTCTCCCATGCAAATAACTTTGCTTAGTATATAAATAAAAAGTGTAATCAATAAAGAAACACTAAAATAATACGCTGTCTTGTTTCATATTTATACACAACGATCGGCTTTTAAAGTAATTACAGTAGGTATGTTATTATACGTAATATAAGCTTCAATTTAAGGTAAAATTCAACCACAAACGCTTCGCAAAACGTTTGAAAGTGTTCTTTTAATACAGAACTAAACTGCCTTTATCGATAAACTTTGAGTTCGAAATAAAATGATTCCAAATTCTCCCATGTAAATAACTTTGCTTAGTATAATAAAAAGTGTAATCAATAAAGAAACACTGAAATAATACGCTGTCTTGTTTCATATTTTATATACGCAACAATCGGCTTTTAAAGGAATTTATACAGCTGAGATTACAGTATATTAAAAGCAAACAATGCATCAATATTTAAAACAAACTTACCTTCGTTAACGTCGGCACCTTTACTTCCTTCTTTTAGCAATCCTCTTGCCTTTATTTCATCAAAAATCCTTTGCAATTTACAAAATCTTGCAAAAATGAAATATATTTGCCAGAAATCATCAAATCAATTTCGCTGTCGTCAATCGTCATGCAGCCGTTATAATGCCAATTTTAAATTGGACCAATCAGTGTTGGCTATTCATTACAGTCCGCTATATTATGAGATCAGTGAGGATGACCACCCACCGAAACACGCACAGTGACCCACGCCCGCGATATTTGATGAACTTTAGACTTTGCTAATGCTTTCGTTTCCCCGGGTGTAAATAGCCGGGGGGAATTAGTACCCTCGCACGGCGCTTCGCACCGCCGGCTCGGGGATCAAATATGCGGTTGTTATATACGTTGCTATCATAGATATCTCATATACACTAGATAGCGCATCTCGGAATACAAAACTGAAGCCAAAAATCTCAGCGGTTTCCCCTATGAAAATAGGCGGCGGCCATATTGGTCGTTCCCACTCATCAATGAAATGCTATAGAAAATACTATACTTTGAGGCTTTTTTGCATTTCTGGATTAAAAATACCTTTTTGAGGTACGTTCGCCTTGAAATCGCAGCTTTTTTGGAAAAGGGTACAAGAAAAAAAATTAATTGGTGATGTTGTCTTTGAATCGTATTTTAAAGCTAAAAATTTCGAATTACGACATTCTTTATATATTTGTTTTGAATCTGTGAATGATTCTCTGGTGAAGTATCGTCTAATCAATACATGTACTTACGGTTTCTGGCACCACTTTATGGAAATGGTAGTTGGTAAGTAACGTTTCGACTATCGGCGTAGGCAGTTTATACTGTAAAAAAACAGAGTCTGCACTTTCAGTTTGGGCAGTTCACTGTAAATCTTTAGTGAAATGTTTGAGACAGTCTGAGTCTGCACTTTCAACTTGGGTAGTTTTCACTCTAAATCTTTAGTGAAACATTTGAGACAGAGTTTGCACCTTCACCTTGGGCAGTTTTCACTATAAATCTTTAGTAAAATTATGTTTGAGGCAGAGTCTGCACTTTCAGCTTGGGCAGTTTCATAGTAAATTTTTGTAATATTTAGCTTTCTCTGATACATTCTGTGTAATCACTCACACTGGTGCTTAAAAGGTACAAGTTTATTTAATTTCTTTCTAATTTTTTGTCCAGATGAATTCTCAGTGGTCTTTTTTCCAAGATGGTAAAACTTAACCTCACAGTAACTCTTGATGATGCTCTTGGTCAACTGAAATATAACATGATTTTCACCAACTGGTGAGTCAAAAATATGGTGATCTAGCTCAGTAAAAAGATTGTGTATGGACAATGAAGCCAGAACATATGGACAATGAACAATGAAGCCAGAACAGAAGTGGTCAGAACATATAAGTGTCTGCTTTCTGAGAACAGAACAATATGGACAGTGCAACCAGAACAAAAGTGGTCATGCAGAACATATAAACATCTGCTTTTTGGGTGACCACTTTTCTTGATGAACATTTTGTATCAACTGTTTTCATAGTACTTCATCCTTAGGGATGTTTATCATGTTAATGCAAGTCTAATTTCAATCAATATAATAGTATACTGTAAAAAACTAAAATAAATTGCTTACTGATGAAATGTCCTGGGAAGTTTTCTTTTGATTTTTGATTCTGTCACTTGACCCTTCACTATTACTTCTTATACTTTTTGCATCAGGAATGACTTTACTCATTGCTATGAAATTTTCTGAGTTTAATTCAAATTTTTAATTTCAATTAATTGGCACCAAAACTTCTTCAGTCCCCCAAATTTTTTTAAAATTGGACATTTTTTTAATGATATTTATAGTAACCACTAAACTCAAAAGGCAAAAATTGAGAGTTTATCATGTTTTCAATTCCTGAGAGTACTGGCAAATTTATTTTATTTTTTTAGAAAAGTTTAATTATTGTGCATCTGATGAGTCAAAGAATTAGAAAACACTGTTACACAAAGTCAAAAGTAATACTTTATTATAACAATAGAATTATTTATACAATAGTGTGTGCATGCAACTATATTTAAGATTATAAAATCTACTGTGCATCAAGCAGTTTATCCCATTGACCTTACAATATACAATAATGCAAGAAGTAATGTGTCTCATTACAAAATAGGGTTTCCCAAAGCAGTTCTAAAATTCAACTGATTATCAATGACCTATATGCTGTTAATAATTACAGTAATTTGGCAGTTTGATTGCTTGAATTAAAAACAAAAGGTCTAGGACTCAACAGAAAGAAATATTTCTTAACATCAAATATTAAAGATAGTTTGAAGCATTCATACAATTGAAGGTTTTAGAAAGTTTGATTATCAACTACATTTACATAAAGCAATAGCAATTATGTTATATTGCCTGCGAATATATTAAGTTGCAATTATTCTTCTCTAGCTTCTAATACATTTTAATCTTGATGTGATCCCATGGAACTATAAAATAATATATGATATGTTGTATGTATGTAATAAATATACAAATAGTAAAGAGTAAGAACCATTTTTAGTGTCAATGTTTTTATATATTGACTATTTAAGATTTTAAGTCTATTTTTGCCATTGATAAACTGTGACTAAAATATGTTTTTCAGTGTCGCTGTCTTTTACAAAAGAACATGCAAATACATTCACAATTTTGCCATGAAGCAATGGCGATAGCTCAAAATGTTTTATTTGGAATTGGTGGAACTATATTTATATATACATCAACAATGATGGTTTGTCCATAGGGTTTGTCCTATGGGCGCCCTTCATACGGGTCGACAAATATTGATATTTTCGAAAAAATAATTAAATTCTGCCTACCCGTTATTCACAATATGAAGCTCCAACGATCTGGCATCATTTACAACAAGTTGCACACTTGAAAAACCAAAATTGACTGCATAAAAGAGGATTTATTGTCAACTTTGTCCATTTCCGCAATACAAAATATACAAATTATCATGCTCCGTGGGAACGACCAATATGGCCGCCGCACGTAAACTGCGACTGCGATCAGGCTTCAATTTTCGCCTGCCTACAGGGTGGGATGCACTATCTAGTGTATATGAGATATCTATGGTTGCTATGTGTTGCCAGACATTAGCGATGCTCGAGTGCATGCATATATTAAAGTACAGCATATTTGTACACTAATCAGGTGGCGGGTCGCACGGGCAGGGAAGAGCGGGCTTTGCAGGCAAAAGTTTGCACAAGATTTTAGTTTTAAAATACATTTATTTCTTCAAAACGTTTTACAAAATTTAGTACGATCTACTTCTAAGAGCGTAACGCTTAGGTGCTTTTGTTATCTTTGAATGAAGCTACCACACAGGATCGTATTTTATTTTATTTTACTTTTATAAACCAAACATCCTGTCGACAGTACACACAGCGTGCTGAGAGGTTATCGTTTTCAGTCACGGAAACGAATAACCAGCTCCCAAAACACGCAGAGTGCACCAGGTGGCCACATAACAGGGGGTCTGTCACAAAACGCTCATCTCTGGCGATGTCTGTCAGGCAGAAATGGCAGGTCTCACTTTCTCTTGGCGAATCTTCCAACAAATTCCATCTTGAGTTTACCTTAGCATAGAAGTTAGAAACGATACCTCTATTTATACAC